GTACAAACACTGCAGTGGCCGACCGCTCTATCAAAGTCACGATTGTAGCTAACATTTGCTAACACCTCTCATCCATGTAAAAAAACATCCTCTCATCCCGTAGTAAAAAAAAAGTCTTTATTTTAGACAGGAGCAATCTTTCCTATTACTTTCTATACATTTATACGATGTCGAAGTGAGAAAGATACTGGTTTTGATGACAGGTAAGGGGGCGCGGCAAGAGAATGCGATTGGGGTTGGATGAATGGCAGATAGAGAACATGAATTTAAGAATCTCGCTAGCTTTGACGATTTATCAATTCTTGCGATAATAATTTGTCACTATATTATACACATAGAGCTACATAGTATCGAAGCGTATTTTGCTTGGTTTGCGTCTAGATTACTGCGGATCGCCGAACAAAAACCGCCAACCGCTAACGGAAAAAACTGCCGCGGGCGAGACGATGCTTGGTATAATGTAGAAGTGTTTGGTTGCCGTTTACATAAGGCATCGAAGTGGTTTCCGTCTGTTCGTATGACTTTTTCGGCTACGATGCTCAAACCCTTATGCTTTTCACCCACGCCAAATTACTGTTGAATCGTAGTATTGAGTTTAGCCAAGATCGACGGCTCAAGCGCTGGGGGAACACGTCACAAACTATAATAACATCAACAACAGCTAAATTACAACGCCGGCTATGATCGTAAGAAGATACGCTAGCACGTGGTTACGGGTGGATACTTCCTCGTATAAGCATCTCTGCGCATATACACGTAAAACTATTTCGATAGAGCGAATGTTATGGATAGCTGGCAAACGAGTTTATATTATAATGATAGATGTCGTTGACAAACGTTATGACACGCAGTCCTCTAGTTAGTATCGTTATTGCAACTAGTGAGAGAATCTCGTCCACATGTAGACCATGGTTGTTTTTGTGTGTATTACGCACGAACGTTTGCATCAACGCACAGATACAAACTAACGTCGAATCTCTCCACACACGTTACGTGTCAGATATACAACTACAACAAGCCTTCATAGCGATGTCAGGAACAAACCATATTAAGTAAATAGCTTCAATTTTAAGGTAAGGACAGCAGGTGAGGCAAAGCCATAACCAGCGTTAATCAACAGCAACAGTAAATCAACGTAGCTTCGTAGGTAGGCTAAGTTCAGTTTCGGGGCAAAAACGATAATGTTGTTGTAAGCAGAAATAACTTTGAACGGCGGCACCCCTGCCAGGACCGAAGACAACACCTGCTCGTACAAGCACAGCAGGATTCCTGAAGACGGCAAACAAAGAGGCTGTACAGTGTGATTAAGGGCGTATGCATTACCGGTTAGGCGGTCGAAGTAACAATCTGACTTTACTTTTAACTGGCTTCGGACTCATTTGGTCTGGCCGCGGTTAAATGCAGTGAGTCTACTATCGTTGATACTGTATCTACTTACTGTTATACTGAGTGGCAATATACATCACGTATAGCATTAACAATTACCAGTTGCCCTTGTCGGTCTCCGTTCTCCTGTTTGTTTTTTGTGCAGATTCCCACCATCCCAAACTTCCACCAGCAGACGGTAATGCGCACCATCACGCCACGATCGCTAAGGCGAAGCAGCTAAAGGTAAAGATCTACGTACATATAGAGGCGTTCACTCAAGATAGCGTCAACCGCGAAAGCCTCCCAGGTTATATAGACGTATAGAAACTGAGATAGACGGTCAGTGTCTTCGTGTTACAATGCCATACAACGGTAGCACTAACATAGATACATATGTATATGTAAGACTGTGTCATCTGCCATGACCCAGTATGTTGACTGCGCTACTATCAGCGTTACGGCTGTATCTAGCATTCAACGATAGTCAATAGGACTATCGGACAATAGGATTATTAGGGACGCTGCTACAACTCGTATAGGATAGGAGTAATGTGGCGAAGGTAAAGGCTCACTCAGGCAACTCAGAAGATGCTAGCACCATATTGTTACTTTCTGGTTGACAAGCATAAGAGCTCAAAAGGTATGTTCACTAAAATAGCACAAAGGAAAAGTCCAACATATTGGGTGTTCCTTTAGTTCTAACGACAGTGTGTTTTCCAGATGTGAAGAAAAACTTCACTGTTCCATTTACCGTAAGTAGATCAGATGCATGACTATCTTAAGAAACGGCCCGACATACAACCTGCATAATATTCTAGTACTGCATAATATATACTAGCATAGGTATAATTGAATTTTTTTTCCAACTCAAAAAAAAATTGCCTTTGGTTTGGTTTAAGTGGATTAATATCCTAATTTGTATTGACATACGTTATCATGGGCACGAACGCATCAAAGAACAACTGAATAGAACCACTAATGTTCTCTTTTTTCTTCAAAAATGAGAACCGTTCTCATGTTATGCAGAACCTTTTCAAAGCTGACACACACATACACCGTCCTATTAGCAAAGTAGGTCAAGAGTTTTCCCAAGGCACACAAAATAGAGCGGTGGAAAAACAAGCTATAAATATATATATATAATGCTATAGTTTATTGATTTATTCGTCGATTGAATGAGAGCTCGGCCGAGGACAGTGGTTTTTTTCGGTGCTAAGTGGCTGTTCTCTCTGTCTTTTGAGCAACAAGTGGCTTAATTAAACATACTTTGATGTTTAAGTTGTAGAACTTACGTGCTCGAGGCGAAAAACACATTCGCTTGCTAATTAGCCTCATTGTTCAATTAATTATGATTGCTATAACGAAGCGTAGCTTTTTAGCTAAACGCGCTGAATTTCGTAAAGTTACTTTTTAATGATCAACGGCTTCATATCATGCACGTGCAATCTTACAAGGTACGTTACATGTACGATATTTGACTCAAATCAGTGTGCGGACGTGAACAATATTTAATGATAAAGTAAATGCACCTCGATTAATAGATAGATATTGAATAAGAGAACTGGGATAAATATATCAGCCGATAATAGGGGTGGAGAGTCGGTGGCTAATTTTAGATTTAGGCTGTACACTTTATGACGGCAATGCCGACGTCTGGCTACCCGTAATAAATTATTGCCAAAAAAAAAAACAACAATAATTATATGACATAACTATCATGTCTATCTACTAATCTTCCCTAAAACTCCCGCTTCTTCAGTTATCCTTATCCCGCTTCACCGCACGCGGTCTAATTTTGTTTTGTTATGAAAAATAGACACTGATAGTGATAGTAGTCGCTTGTAACTATTGTTGAAGAGGTGTAATCTATGTAGTTATTTACACGTTATACTCCACAGACATTGTCCAGTACTCGAAACGGCACGATTTTTTTTAAGCATCGTCTCTTCGGCCGTGCCATAATGCGATTCGATAATGTCGTATATCAGAGGGATGTGTAGGCTGCCGTTTCTTTGTCTCTGCTCGTCATTCGCTTCTTCTTAAAAAAACGGTCCCTTGGATTGAAGTCATCTGGCCTATTCCTCGTGATACTGATAACGCTACTACGACGTAACGAAGTATTACAATGTCGCTAGACAGAAATCGATATACGATTGTAGTTCTGTGTATTATAGTATGAGCCGTGGTAAATTCAACATAGAAGATGACGGATTACTGATTTGTTGTCACTGACGAAATAGGAAATAATATTGTGGTCCGATATGGAGAATAACTACCAACGAATCTAAGGATCGTTTCATAATGGAGATGAAATGAAGTAGTACATTAGCAACGAAACGTATATGCCAAAAGCTGATTAATGATTTGTTGTGATGAACATTTTGTAGACGGGGATATGGTGGCAAGACGGTAGATACTGCTGGTTCGGGCCTCGAACCTTCAGTGATCCGGCCTCAATTCTCAGAAAAGAAAGCCCACAACGCACCGGTTACGAGACGCCGTCGTGAGCCGCGCGTCGTAAAAAAAAGAATCACATTGCCCTTAAGCTAGCGTGACGTCAACTAGCGCATACTATGTACGTTATTGCAAATTCGTCAACGTCTCTCGTAGGCACCCTTCTCTTTTGTGGTGCGCTTATTAGCTAGTATCTTTATTTTGCTTTTTAAAAGCTAGACATTTTTAAGAGTTGTTCGTTCATGGTCGACCTAACCGAGTGACCTAGCTACGAAGGTATACACCGAGGCGCCTCATTGCACAATCAAAGTAAGACGTGATTTGGAAACACGTAAAAAAAGAGAGAAATAATTATTATTTTCAAAGCTCTCAAGACCATAACGTATGATCGTGTCACCAACAATGTTCATCCGAATGTTCATAGAAACGTATCCCAACTGAAGTTCCATTCAGTTGGAAGTGGTTGCTGATACCGTTAGTGATCAATGGAACGTTTCAAGAAATTAAGCAGAACACTTCACCTGATCTAGCAACAAATAACATAATAGATTATTGTGTGTTTGTCCTGACGTGTATCTCAGAGACGCGCTTACTTGTCTGTGCAATGAGATTCCCTGTATACCCCCGCAGCTAACGCAGAGGACGGAGCCGGTCAAGTGAACGATGACTATATACTAAGCAAAACGAGGCCATTATCTAGCAGAGCTTACCTATACCTATATCTAATACCAGTAATTGCAATCAAAATTTGATAGTATCTGAATGTGCAGGTAGGAATACCGGTAGCAATCGGAAGATGTAACGAACGAATCACTAAACCGCCATATCAATGATAACTGTAATTAATATTATGAATCGCTCGAAGCGACCAAGAGTGTACTGATACTGCCTCAACAATACAGGTAATCAGGTAGCATGCTCTGATAAAACCTGGGCACCGGACCAGGATTATAACAGAACTACGAACGCATCTACATCAGCACGATCTATGCAGATAAACGCTACTAACGATAAACGCCCGTATCGTCAACAAAACGTCACCGACCCTCATTTCGTTTCCCTTGCTATGCTGTTGTGTCCGTAGGCGCGTAAGTAGCAATCGACTTATCATCGAATCCTGTATCGTGAGAGTATTAGATTAGTTCCTGGCCCCTTTGCTGGAGCTGTGCTTGGGCAGCTATTCCTCTATTTTGTTATTTACCACCGGTAACGTTAGTGTTACGTATCGCCGCTATATCGGTGTATCGTTGAAATCGAGAGGTTATCATTGTCGTGGTCAGATAGCTTCGTTAGCAATGGTAGATAGTCGAAATGGTTGTACTAATCGTAACTCGATAGATGATTCAGCCATTACTGCTCGACCAACTGAGACAACCTGTAACAGGTGATATTTGTACCTGCGAGTGCACCAGTGACAGCAACGCTCTATTTGATTGTGTGTGTGCTATGGCATCGCCATTGGTAAGCCCTCAATCTGTGATTATACGCTAATGGCCGTTATGTGTGCCAATTAATTTGCGACTGGGTACCTGCTTTCACTGAAGCGTATACTACTATGAATACCATAGTACTGAGGGGGATGGAGATGGCAGGAAGTTGAAGTTAGGGACGGACTAGAGAGGGCCTGGCGGCACGACGCGAGCGGTAAAGGCGACGATTGTGCTTCAATTGGCCAACCAATAATGAATTTAGTGAAGTGACGGTGGATGATGCGATCTTACGGCACTATCGTCGCGATGTAGATTTGGTGGGCAATAAGAGGGTTACCCATGTACTGATCTGCTGATTCTCTGATCGCCGTGACTGCCGATATGGAGAAGAACAGGAACAGAAAAAATGAGTGGTACGATGTTTGTGATAACTGTTTTTGCTACTAGCACATTTTTGTCTGTTTATATTTACGTATATTAACGGTATGTATGATCACAACGATGCGGTCGTCGATAACGTATCATGGATAAGTCGCATGAAAACGTGGATGAAAAATGTTTACGCAAAAAAATCTAAGAAGATAATTTTCGTTTCGATGTTCTAACATATCGTTTTCTTCTGATATTTTCATCTCGCCGGCAGTCAATTAACGCATCTCGAAAAAAGTCACCGCGAAGATACTTTAAAAACTAACTCAAAGGCCAGTAAATGCAGAGAAGTTTAGAGCTTTCCGTTTCAGCAAATTCTGCTACGGCAGAAATTACGAAGGGAATATCTAATTAACTATATTATTCATTCAAAATAGAGAAAAGCCGATCTTGGCCCCTTACGTACGCAGTTACTGCATACGCAATGACTGTATTCACGTAGAGAGCACATATACAAAAGGGGTTCATTGTACTGTGTTGATTACCTGAGCGATGTACGTGTTCTCTTTGAGGTTTATAACGGTGAATTTGTAAGGCAACTAAACCTTACCAATATGCATGAATAAGGAACTTTGTCCAAGAAGGCAGTTCCACGCTGTCAAGGTACTGTTTGTTTTACGATGTTTTACTTATTAACAGGCAAATTAATTTTTTCGGAGAAACTATCGGCACGTTAGCGAACCTCTATTTTTAAATATTGTTAGTAGCGCATTACCATTGCAACTATCGTTATTATGAAACGATCTAAAACTGAGAGCATTCATTGCGTTATCATGTGCGCAATATTTATCTAACTGTTGTTTTTCTGGAACCGCTCTCATCTAACTTTGACACCTCTCTTTGTATCGTTCTTTTACTTGTCAGTGTATATTTATTCGAACTATTTTTGTCTTTACACGTTTTCCTATGAAGAAAATCATAAAACCTCATTTACATTTAAACTTATTAATACGGCTCTTCCTTACGCCCTGTCATCGCGCTACTTACGAATTAGTGTTTCCATATATGCGTCACATGCACATACCCGCACTGATATGTGCTCAGACTTATTCAGTCCGCAAACTTGCACACCTATATATATATATATATATATATATATATATATATATATATATATATATATATATATATATATATATATATACATACATACATACATATTGGTTGGCACTGAAGAAGAAAGCATGCTGATTCTCAATAGGCTTTCTTCCAGTCCCGGCCTTGTTACAACATTCCGAAATGTTCTTACAAACGTTTGTTGTGTGCTGCTGGCGGACCTCAGCCGTCCGATGCAATGCTAAGACGGTTCCCATCGTATAGCTTGAAGTACTTCTTTTTTGGCTTGTACAGGTCATATACAGTTTACCTATGACTATTGCTACTGTTAGGTTATAGCCTGCCGCAGCAGTCGTTACGACAGCATAGCTTACCATCTGCCGCTAATTTTATGAAGTCAGCTATAAGCGAGCACTCGCAGAGTAAGCGTATAGCGTGGTAAGGTGGCAAAAAGTACAATAATAGTGACTACTTACAAAAGTCACAGAACCTACTCGGGCTCTATTTTTAGCTACTGTTTTACTACGACAATTTCTGCTATTCACGCGCTGATCGCCGAATTGTTGCTGATGATTCGACCCGTGATACTGACGGCGACAGAAATAAAAGCGATCACCAACGCTTGCGGCATCCTTATTACCCCCGTATCCTCGTCGTTCACTCATTGTCCATTCATTTGTCTGCTCGTCCGAATCGTATCACCTGCTGGCTCTTTTTGCCGCCAATTTTCGTCTCTGCCTCCCTGTCTTTTTCCATCACTTCGATTTTTTGTCTCGCTTTTCATCTCTCTGTCTCCTGCGTTAAGCGACTCGATGATAGGACAAAGGTTACAGTGAAATCAACACGACCGATGATGTCAGGTCCGACGTGGACGAGAAAAGAAAAACGTCATCCGAAAAATGTTTGCTCTCCTCAGGGAAAGTAATCGCTCGAGGAAGCAATGGACGGCGACATTGGTCGCCGCAATCAAAACTAATGAAGGTTTTCTTGATGATCGTAACAGAGATCCGATACGGTAATGATTGATGACTGCGAACTGTCTTCTCTTTGCGCATCGAAGAAACAGAATGGCGAAGAGCGCTTTGCAAAATGGTGACGACAGCTAGCAGCACACGAGGTAACGACACCGACAGGACGCCGCTGAGGCGGTAGTCTCATTATTGTCGGTAAAAGCGATAACAGATCGGACACGAAGATGACGGCGATATCGAGTCGAATATTTAGAAGCGTACCAAAGGCGTTTCGACAAACGGGAAGCATCGGTGATTTTGACAAGAAAATATAGTTCGTTTTTATTTTTAGAAACCGGACACTTTTAAAAAGACTTTGCTGCGATGCGTTGGTTGTCAAATAACACGTGTTAGCGCCTTCGGCCTGCCGGCTCCTGCTGATGCTAGCGTTCTTCCCTCTTCGCCGTAATAAATTTAATGCCGCATTGTCAAAGCAATGGTCACGCTCTCAGGAGTCATAGTTTTGCTGTGTCATCCTCTTCAATGAAAGCCTATACGAACTCGATAACGGCGGGCATGGCGATACCGTGTCCCGTTATTATGTCGCATTAACAGTCAACTTGCCGTGCAAAAGCTGTCGTCCCTCGTCGGATCTGGTGCTATTCTACGCTATTTCTTGTGTCTGCTAGGACGTAATGGCTATACCGCTAACTCCTGTCTCTCGTTGACATTATTCAATACATTCGTCGTTGCTCGCTGCTTTTTTCACCAGGTCAGAAAATCGATGTCTCTGGATTCTCACTCAATTCAATAACGAAAATAACAATAATGGAACGACTGGAAGGGGAAGGGCAAATGCTGACTGGTTAACCATAACTATAATCCACTTCATGTGGTCCGTGTGTGTGACTAGGGAAGCTAAGAACAACCAGGTCTTGCCCAGTAAGCATGCAGCTACGAAGAAAGAGGCCGTACGGTTATATGGAACAAGCTAAATCGCAGACGGCCGCAAGCGACCAAGAAAAGTCAATCTGAAGATGATCTGCCAGTTCTGTGATCGCCACCGTGTCCAATCCGTTCGATGAGATACCTCGCTGTTGTCCAATCGACCACAACAGCTTCATGTTTCGGTCCCGCTATTTTTATGTTAGCTATGATTCACTCGGAATTTAGCCCACCTGGTTGTCCGCCCACATTTTTTCCGTCCGGCCGCCGGTCGTTTGTCGGTAGCCAGCCCTGACTGTTTACCTTTCTTACCTTTGAGTAAATGATACATAAAGGCGTTTGTGACGTGACAGGACGTGCCTGCTCAAGCTGTCAGTACCAGATACAGGTTCGTATGCAGGCACGACTGGCAGGAACAGAAAAAACGCAGTCCAAAGGACCTTAGTCACTGGTAATTGCACAATTCGTTTCGCAGCAAAAATATGTTTACTGCACGAAACCGGATCGGAATTGTGATTAAATAATGATACCTTCGGACAGGTGTCATCTAGGGAGTGAAGGCTTAATTTGCAAAAATTGAAGCTGACGCCACGTTGGGATCGTGTCTACCTCGTTGATAGCAGGGATAACCAGACTGGCGAAGCCGCACTGGCGGTGACCCCTGCTTATTTTATATGAAGCACGTATCGTGTTAAAGAATCCACCAGGGGATTTAGTTGGCATGTTGTCACGCATCTGCTTTACTCTGTTTTTTTCTTGAAAAAAATTCTTCTTCTTTTGCTTTAATGGGTAAAGCGTACTACGTTCACGTAACGACGTGCCCATTTGTACGCTGTCTGGTCGTCAGTCGTCATCAATATAGCCACCGCTGCAAGCCGTAACACTTGAGCGACAAACATGCGTCAAGCGAGACGCATGATTTATTAATTGAATTGAATAATCATCTTTGAATGAGCGGTACGCTGTGCTAAGGCAGACGTAAAAAGGTGACTTGTTCATAACATGCATGGTGGCGGTAAAGTACGGAAGCCTGACTCCGTAGTCCTAGTTTGTAGTGCGTCTATGATGATCTAATTAATTTACTTTGTAAGTATTTGATGATGCGCTTTAAGACAGCGTATTTTGCTTTTCAAACGAGTTATTGTTCGATATTAGTATAATATGCAGATCGGCGCCGCAGATTTATACTGCACCTTCTCATTAGCATCAAAAGATTGTAAGGCTCAAAAGTCGCTATTTGATCAGCCAGCAAAAACGGTCAAACGATTTTCTGTAAATTCAGATTTGAATTTTGCACGAATATTGCCTGGTAGTAAACGGTGGTGTCCTATCTACCTAACCTTAACCATAATCCAGCAGCTCTCCTACAAAAGTACAGACTCGCCTGGCTTTAAAAGCTGGTGCATCCCAGGCCAATGAATATGGCTGTCCTAAATGGAATGAGCAATGATTTGTTGAGACCTTATGCCAGTGGAAGATCTCAGTTACTCATTAAGAAATCAGACCTGCCTCGAGCACCATGCTCTGGGAATATGGTGTTTACGCCTATAATTAGATTGTGCGAATTGTGAAAGAGCTTTTCTGCCAGTCCTCGAAACTTCAGATGCGCAGAACGATGTGTCGAAATAAAAATTATCGTACAAGTAGCTAGTGCGCATCCTCTTCGATGTGCTGTTATAATAGCCATAAATATGCGGTTATTGCTCATCATTTGAATTTCAACGTTGACAAAACGTTATTGTGACATCAGATCACCGCACTGTCTTATAGGGTTGTTGCAGAAACCCTAAGTAAGTCCAGCAGGACCCACTCCAGCTAGATCTTTTAGTAAATCCTTGATGGCATGTTGGAGAGATAACTCCAAAGGCTCGTTCACAGAACGAAGATACTCAAAGATTCTAAAATGGACTTGGTCGCAAATAGGTATCTGTTCTCAAAACGTAGCGTAACGTTGTGTATACACAACAACAGCGGCTCTAGAAGAAGCAGAATTTTAAGCTACGATCTAAGTGTTTTAAGGCGGACGTAGGGTGAAAATCACACTCGCCTCTTACTCCACTTACTTCTTTAGTGACTTCATCAAACGTGAAATCATCCTAGAGCTGAAGTTGTGTTGTGTACGCAGTTGGTCTGGCTGTAGATTACGCTGATCCAGTAGGCATCGTTCAAGGGCTTTCTTCAACGGAGTATGTTACGCAGTTGGTGAAGATCGATGGGAACCTTCAACGCACCCAGCAGATATTGTTCAGGCTTAAATAGAATTCGAGAAACGGCTAAGATAAGGATATCATGTGCTACAAGACAGGTCTGCTTTTCTAGCAAGCTGCTGTACAGTCCCTATTATCTTGGTACAATAAGTCCTATTGTCTCGCTGCCGTTCTCTTTTTGCAGTTCTGTTATCGATCCGATTCAGTAGACTCTAGTCCATTACTTCGTCGGTATATTCCATCATTCTGTTTTATACCATACCATGCATATGATGGCTGTATGATGGTATAATATGACAGGTCAAATTAGTTACAGCAGAGTTGTTACAAATATATTTTTATATACTTCGTGTTCGACGCTACCTGTCGAGTGATTTAACATGGATTCGATCAGTAACTCCACTGTATTCCTCTGGCTAGGATAGTTTATCCTCCAGCCTGTAATGAGTCTCCTACTCCATTGTACAAAGTATCCTATGTTTCCATTACGACTAAACCATCGTTCTCCTATTTTTGACCTATCACGCCTTTGCGGTCACTCTTCTATTTTTAATTAAAAGCAGCCTTAACTTCCAGGATTCTATGCAAAATAATTTGTTTAAGAAGCAACAGGTAGGAATAGAATTTTGCAAACATTCTTCCTGCTGTTGCTTAGATGTACTTTCTGCTCGATTACAGAAAATAAGATAAATCGATATTTCGATGATATTACATTCAAGAATTAAGATTGATATAAACATCACCTGAACGTACAAGCCCTAACGTGCATGATTTTGTGACTATTACGCATGCCCGAATACGAAGCAGTCATTATACTGGACTATTGAAAAAAAATTTTTAATGTTGTTGAGAAAACTGCCGAATAAAGGTGTCGTCTCTTTCATATTTCTCATATTTACATCAAAGAGTAGGAAAGTTTTCTTTTGTGTCTGCTAGCGTGCATTTTTCTCATTTAGATTTAGTGCGAAAAATGCACGCATGAAGAAAAATGTAAAAATGGTACACATAAATCGTCGCTCGCCTAAGAATAAAGAAAAATTTCCCTAGCTGTATAATTTGCCCGTTGAGTTTGCAACTCCTGACGGCCGTAGCTCGTACATATGCCCCGTTCCCACTTTAAATCGAACACTTTTCAAAGCAACACCTTACGTAGGTAGCCAAATTAGATAGCTTTCAAGTTAATTTGGACACGTTCAAAATAAAATTGAACGCTTTTGAAATCGAAGTGAATTTCTTTATAGTCAAAATTGGCACTTTTTATATTATTCAAACCTGTATTATCACAATAACAATAATGAAATACAAATTTCTTTGAGTCGCCCCAGGCGACGGAACTTTTCACTCGTTCACCGAGGAATTCTTTTAAAAAGTTCTGGCAATTCGGAAATGATACGACGAAACATTGTCCATGGTCCGAAGTTACTATGACTAAGTTCGTAGTTCACAGAACGGACCGTATGCGGAGGAAATTTGGTACATCCTAAATGCCAGCAGACACACGACGGTTAGAAGGCGCCCTACGAGGCGATAATAAAACAGGTGTTAAATGAAACAGTTAAGAATCAGTCGTCAACGAGCAATGTCCACGAAAATTTAGGAACAGAAATAGAACTGAATTGTGCAAAGTAAAGTACACCCCCAACGTAATGGTAGATCTATCGATAGAAGCAGAACGATAAATTTATCACCGACGTTTAGAAGCTTAGTAGTAGTTTAGTTTAGAAGCTAATGAAGATAGCTCAGGAACGAGGCGCTGTCGAGTAAGGAAAGTCAGATCTAAGTAGAGCTAGGAGAAATTGTAACCATGCTATGATATTAAAAATATCTTGACTATGCATCTCCAGGAAGGAACGCTATGTACAGCCATAATGTAGCGTAAGTAAACGGGTACGTTCTAAGCAAACACTGGATTACTGTTTTGTCTTATTAGTCTCTATAAGCAAGCTACAAGAGACATTTTTATCGTCTTAGAGAAGGAACCTCAGTCAACCGGCGTCATCATTTAGTGTAGCATGTTGACTTCGTCCAGATGTCCTGCATTGTACTTCACCTTCTCAGAGACGTGTGATGATCTGATCTGAAACGATCCTATTCAAAATGAAAATGTCATGCTGCATACAAAACTAGCAGTAGAGGTAAAGATAATAAGATGTATAATTTGATTTTGAGACGTGCTATAGGCTAATCCAGACCCAACTTTTACACCCCGGTTTACAGACGACCTCTTGCGTTGAGATGATTCGATGCACGACCTCACAATATGTTCTAACATTACTTGCATATTTTTATCAACATTTACGTAGTCTGGTTTATTATGTAAACTGATTCATACACTATTTTTTCTTTTTCTTTATACACGAATGTTTTTTTTACCGCTATACAGCATACGATTGCAAAATACGCTATAGCACAACTTTATGAGTTAGAAAATCACTTGAAAACTGACATCACGTTACCTTATTACTTGCAGTCACTGCTTGGCATGAGGAGAACTTTATGGGCTACTTTTCTAAAAGAAAAACGGGTTTGTAAACTGTAGCCGCTGAACTCCTAATAAATGATAACAGGGACTCTTTCTCGATTAATATAGTTCGTTGCACCAAACCTATACACTGTACAGATGATAGACATTACGGATGAGGCGCAACACGGAGAAAACGCTTTACTAAAATGGATGGGATTTGGCCAGCCGGTAGATGCAAATTTACTAAAGTCTTTTATCGCGAAGTTTGGGTTGAGATAAGGACAAGATTGCCAGGAAAAACCGGCAACGTTTTCTATCCAGATGCTCTACGTAACAGGCTAGTTGAAGTAGAACGATGAACCACTGTCACCTTAACTGCTGGCCTAAAAAGAACAACTTTTCTGGATTTATTTTAAAGTAGTGGTTATTTCTAGTCCTTTTATTATAACAGGCTCGAGTAATCGCAGGAACCTGTTGATACGACAGTTTTTGCAGCTCTGAATAAGCTTACAGTTGTGTGCTGATAGCTGTTGATGACCGGCATAAAAGCTTATGGAACAAATAAAATGTAAAAACATTTTATCATCTCCATAGAAAATAACTAGCTAACTTGTAACCCGTATAAGTATTATACATCTATTGTTTTATATTTACTACTCCTTTGCTGGTGTTTTCTAATTCTCCGGTCGTCTAACGGATACATAGACAGAAAATGGGATGGTATTCAGATTTACATAACTCACGAACTGCAGTCGTGCCAACGCATCATATTGTTTTAAATTGGCCTATGGCTATGATTGGATCAGGGTTGTCGAGCTGCATCTGACGCCCACGGAGTTTAGGTTAGTTTTTCGACTCGTTCTTATAGAAATCGGGCATATTTTAAGTTCCATTTACTTAACTCATTGATAACGGTTACGCAGAATACAGGGATAGGTCGACCTGGAAGATCATACAAATAAGAGTACTGAGCTAGACCATTCAGTCAGGTAGAATTTGCTAGGGCCTTCTGGTTGTTTCATATATTTGAGTGCAACGACTTGTGCACGCAGCTCTGTTGCGTCTCTGAGATCCATTCATACGATCACGCGAAACTTCCTTCATAAGCGGCGTCTTCCGTAAATAAAGGCCTATTTGAAGAAAACTCAACTATGACCCACTTATGCCAAATTGTCAAAAAATTTATGAAAATATTATAAACAATTAAAAAGGAAAACAAACAAGCTTTAATGGTGCTCCAGAAGCAGAACCAATACCCTGATCGAAGTGTATAAAATATTTAAGTTCTCATTTAGTATAACATATACGACTATTTAGAAAAAGAAAAAGATAAAAAAAGTTTTGATGACGCTTCAAAAACACACTCAGTTGCCTTCAATTGGTTCAGTATTTTGAATAATCCTTATAAAAAATTATTTAAAAAATTCCTTGATTAAGTTTGAGGAATAGAATGACAACATTAGCCAGCCAGCTCTGTCAATTGCAGTGTCTAGTGAAAGTCGGCCTAACGCTAACAGGATTCGCCTTGGTCCCTCAGAAACTAGACTGCTGAATCAGACTGGTCAGATCAAGAGTACACTAGGCGCAGGGCAACGCCTGCGGATCCGTCTAGTCTCTGTACCTCTACTAGTGCAGAAGGATTGGGAAGCGGATTCATTTAAGCCAAATCGAATCTTTGATCTTGTTCAGAGACTTCATTCTCAATTTCCCCCATTTGAAAATCCCGCCGCATCAACAAGAGTTACAAACATGCAAGAGACCACTCCCAGCATCGTTCGCCCTGATATATTATCGAGTATAATATAAATCTGTAAGAATTGCGTTACATAAATAAGTGTGCACAACTCTTGTTGCGCGGAACACCGTATTTAAGTAGTGGCTATTAGGTTCTGTGTCGAGTAAGGTCATCATGTACTAACTAACCGCATTCGACGTTCTGTCTATTATAATTTCTACTTTCTTTACAAATAAGCTGCGTTTAACAACGATACGTCTCGGGGCTTGTCTAGTCTCTGTTTAATCATTCATAGTAATATGATCATTATCAGTATGTATTTTTATTGGTACCGCAGTGATTTTCTGCTGTTCTGACAAGCGGACTGCTCCAACTCAAAGTGCGTTCTACGTTAGTTTAATATGTTCATAGACCCCCGTTTCCTGATTCGCTGATTCCCATCAGTGTAAATATCTATCGGTCATTCTAAACAACCGAATTAACCACTTGTTCGTTTCATGTATGCAGGCAAACGACTACGTGCCTGTGCCTCCGAAAAAGCAAAGAACAAAAATAAACCTCTTCGATTATATGGAAAACTCATCCTCAGGAACCATTCAACTATATCAATCTGTAAATATTTTCAAAAATGCGTATCTAGATAAAAAAAGAAAAAAAAACCTTTTCCGTTGAGCAAAATCCCCGCTTCGATAACTCCTACCTTCTCTGTTGATACCTTCGAAACTAAAAAAAGCGAGGGAAAAATGTTTACGAACGATTTTCCCTACCTGCTTCATAGGACAGCCTAACACACAATCGGTCGGCCGACTTGAATACATCTAACCTCTATTTGTCGGTATGTGACACTTTACAGAGCGGAACGCCAGCATCATTAATTAGTCTGCAAGCACGTACATGTGCACGACAATAAAAAAAATATTGCAACCGACCTAGTAAATAAAGACAACGTGTGTGGGTGGGAAGGCAATTGACTGAACGCGCTATACTGCCTAAACACACGTTATCTGCTAATCCGAGGTAAGTTCAACTGGTAATAAATACAATTCTCCTATTACCATAGTGTCTGCCGTGTTTGTCATGCGTTGTTTGTATTTCAGCCACGTTTTACGTCCTGTGCCATTGGGTTCTTGTCAACTTTGCTTACTCAATGATATGCCAATCTTAATAAGCGTATCATTTGTTACGAAGTCCGAGAGAAGAACAAGCAAATCGGTTACGAAAGGAGAAGAGTCATGCGTTATCGAATACTGGCGATCTTTTTGACAGCAAATACATAGAGTAAATGATCCGTTTGAATTCCGTTCGATATATCGAGGCCATGTTTGAAGCGACAGCGCATTCAGTGACGACCAAAGGTGACAACTTTGCGCGTCATACGGCGTCCGTGGATCGATTCGCCAGTATTTAGTACATTATGAACGTTTTGCAGTCTCAGAAATTACATTGTTCGACTACATCTAGCTGTATCAAAACTGTAGACGACAGCTGAAGACTACCGGTGTCAATATAAAAAATCGATAGATGCATAACTGATTGCGAATATGTGTTCGGAGTGTGGTACCTGTTCTCGTTGTCGAATGTCCTGTTACTTTAGTACGTTTCAGTTTAACTATAGTGTGACTGTTTAAAACGAAGAGGATCCACAGCTATATAGTGTAACAGCTTGATTTTTTATTGACGAAGGCACAATTCGTATGGATCATTGTTCACTGTTAGTATCCCATCTAAGGGTGACCAAAGCGATCTTTGCAATGGTCCCGACTACTCTCTACTCCTACTGTCTCCTTAGCGCCACTTCTATACGTAGCCAGAGTAAACATTTTATTACAATCTATCTCTCAACGTGTATACATAGTGAAAGCTTCAACATCAAGATCAACAGAAACGTGAATTAGGTACCTGCGGCGTACGGACATCGTCATCCGCCGGTTCGCCCGTTATGTAAATATACATCCACTGAAAGCATCATCGTGAAATGGTAATTTTGGATGCGCGTACAGCCTGCAAAAAGCTGCGTATCTCAAATGCTCGCATTTTTTCTGCAGATTTAGTTCTTTCTCATAATATAAATAAAATCCACGAGAAATTGTGTCACAATAGAATCATGCGCTAATTATGGACACCCAAGACTAGTCGGTCTAATTTTTCAGGTTTGATAATTATGTATTTGACCGCGGCAACGGGCTAAAACCAAATAATATAAGAAACAACTTAATAACACAATAAAATACAATAAATATTATTGTTGTTTCGAACTTGCTTAAACTGTCTATGGCTGTCACTATAGTTTGCGGACCCATGCTTGCCGTTACTCAAGGTAGTAGTCAATCGCTTAAAAAAAAAAAATAGTTAATCCCTTAAAAATAAATGTAAAGTATAAAAGGCATGAACACGGTTACATAATGGGCTAATAATACTGTGTACAACGAATATAGAGCTGGCGACCTTCGCAATGATTTAAGTCTTAGGATCATAATCACAAACATACAAATCAAACGCTCGTTTTCTTATTATCCTTAATGATTCCCATAAGATAATATATGAAGAAAGGTTATTGTTTAAGGGAGAAATTTAGCACGGTAGGCGAACCAGAGGCCCATTTCAATTTGCATTTGTTCGACGGATGCCGTAAAAAAATTAGCTCTTGCTTAAGCGACGATATCAACGTAATCCACAGCACTGAAAAATTATACTACGTGATACCTTCATTTTCTTCCTAGCATAGTCTACATTAAAGGAAAAAGCTCGTGCGTCTTTAACGCACTCAGTAACCAGAGGGTTGGAGCTATTGTTGTTGCTGATCACACGAATTATGCAACCGAGCCCTTTGTCTTCTCTGCTAACCTTATCTTCTTTGTCGTACCAAGATAATGTTGAGCTTTGGCACTAGTTTTGAAATGTCGCCCAAGCACTACGATCCCTGACGGGAGACTGCTATCAGGGATTCAACTGACGGAAATCAACTACCTTACATGCAAAGAGGAAACCAATACAACGGCAAATATAAAGATTTTCAGACTGTAAGGATCTGAATGTCCAGCAGCTGTTCCTGGTTACATTAATCAAACTGAGTATCATGCATCCGTACGTGGTACCGAATTTATTAGTTCAATGTTTTTTTTTATTGTTCTTCCATCGGATTTCTCGTTTCGAGTTCTCGTGCGGTCTTTGCCCTTCCGATCGTAAGCACGCCTACGACGTCCGGCGCTTAGATGACTTCGTTTCTATTGCCCCTAAGGGTTCTCGGCGTTTCCGCGATCATTCTTCAGTGAAGGCATCGTAACCGGCTACTGACCTGTAGACTAAGAAGCATGTGGTGATGATGATTATACTACCAAAATCCTTCAAAATACTATGTTTAGTCAAATGAACTATCGGCGTCTTCTAACATTTTATCAACACGTTTACAATGAGAGCGCACACATTACACATACACGCGAATAGCTAGATAGACCTGCTACGTCTTTGACTACTGAAGATTTGCTGGGAATAGCGCGAAAGGAGAAACGCAGGGAAATTTTTGTTACTTCGTTAATGAGCTTTTGCTTTCAATGTTTTTGACGAAGAATCTGCTGAGCGTTTGACACTACAATTACTACGACTGCTGTTGTTGCCGCCGCTACGCTTACGTTTTGTCAGATGAATTAGCATTATACCAGCGATCGTAATGGTAAAACGTAGACTCACTTCATCGATTGAAATTAATTGAGGGTCAATATTTGCCAGCAGGCACGTCAGATAGATCTGACGCAATGGCTAAAACCCCCGCTTCTCACTAGTTGACCACTGTCCACGAGTGGAAGTGTCGATAACAAAAGATAGAGGAGAACCCGCTACGGGAACGAAGAACAACGAGGCAAAAAAACCATAAGTCCTAGTCGCATTACGCAGTAAAAGTGTCCTTTTTGCCATTCCTGTGGTTACTGCATGCTATTGCCATCATTGAAGTTTATCTAAATAGCACTACTGCTTTCAAGTCGTTGAGGTTTTACGGTTTCTGTTGAAGTGATTCGAGTGAAGCTGTTTTTTATTAATCGCACATATTTATTTAATAACGCACGATATATCAAAAAAAGGAAGTGCTTGCTAGATCCAGCCACCTTTCACATAACAATTCTAAAGTGCATGTAGATGTGATTTGCGTTCTGAATAGACGCTGCGGAAGGCGAGGCAGTTCCTGCTATAATCAATAGCTTAGCTTTAGGCAGCTTAGTCACTCTACAGGGAATTATACGTAGAAGTTATCCAAAAGTCACACGTCATCTTATTCTACTCGTTGACTTATGGCTGCTAGTAATTCTACTAGTAAGCCCAGCTTCAACGAGCCTGTGGGAATGCCTTTGTCAGAACTAGATCCCAACTTCGACACCATGGGAGGCGCAACCGTGGCACGCGTCGACACGAGAGCTGTGGGATCAGCGATTGGAGCGTGCCGTAGACCTGAGTAAGCCGATCGAGTCACAACGTCAGCAGGGGCATCATTCGTCCGCGATGGCGCGCCTTCTGCTAATTCCGTTGCTTGTTGCCCACTGCTCATATTCGTAAGTTGTTGTGCGTGCGCCCTTTCGAACTCTGCGACTTCCTGGTTTTTTCTATCGCCGCTTTTTCACAGTCATTTAAGAAGTTCGCTCGATCATTGTCGTCCTCCCACGTAGTCTGCTGCGCATCTAACCGCGCTGGGTTTCGTCTTTACTTTCGTTGGGCCGTAGCTTCAGCCAGTTACCTCACAACTGTTCGTTTCGCTTGCGGAGAGCGAGACGGGGTCACGAGCGGTTACACAGTTAAATCCCACCTCACGGTGGAAAATTGTCTGAAGGGGGCAGTTCGCGATGAATACGCTACTATTAGTTACTAGTACCAAGCCAAGACTCCGTATCTCAAAAAAAGTACTGACATAAATCGTTCGAAAGACGGAGATAATGTAGCGCTCATTTAAATTAGTTCAGCTGAGACAGTTGCGTCTCAAACTACGAACGTACGTGCGTGTGTATACTGCTTGAGAAAAAAATCAAAAAGCAGGTAGGTATTGACGTATAAAATATCCCATTTCAAATACTGAAGATGACGAGGATAAAACGTGTACGCTACTTTCACTTCGTCACACCTACCGTATAGTATTTGCGCCGGAGACTAAATATGGCTTTGTGTAGGGCGGCGATTACGTATTCTGGCGAAAAATACTAGCTCCTTTAAAGTCCGCTTTATGCTAATAGAAAAAAAAAAGCGTAATACACACATGTAACTGCATACTATTAAACAGAGGCGACAAATATAGCGGCAAACAAATTTGTCTACCACTATGTTTGAAACATGTCCGACGACCAAAGCAATCTTATTATTATTAGATATATATATATATATATGTGTGTTTTTTTTTCCATATTATAATACAACAATCATATGTTAAATTGTATAAATATGGTACATTGAAAAAAAAAAGCTGAAGAACAACTACAATTGTTCCGCTAAATACGCACAAATTTGCATGATCACGTCTAACATACGTACTCCAGGCTTAGCCGTACTTGTCGCAGATAGGTCGTCCACATGACTCTACGTATTCCTAGACAGACGTCAATCTCATTCCCACTTGAAACTTAATATTTACTAATTGTTCAATATGCAGCTAAACTACAACGGTCGATTTCTACTCAACAGTTACATACGGTAAGTTGAGCGCGTCTCCGAACGCCAGCAAAACGATGACAATATGCTTATCTTAGTACTCTAAATAGCAGCTTTGATAAGACCAACATTTCTACGTATATATCGTACAATTGGCCAGCCGTAGCCAACAAGCGAGCCTTTGTCACAGAATTTCAATTGATAAACGGAAATATCAAAGCTCGATTTACTGTTTTTGCGTGCTAACGTTTTTGCCATGGTGTTTATACAGTATCACTGCGAATGTAACAGCAGTGCCTTTGTTCGCTAGTATTGCTTAGGAATTAGTCGAGCCTTTCGAGTTTCTAATCTTTTCGTCCTTTTCTGTTTTGCTGCCGCTGCTGTTATCATACTTCAAGCAATAACAAATATATATCAAAGCAATCAGATAAGCCAAAGTAGTTTTAGAAACAACGAGGCGACAACGATAAGTAGCACGGTGACAGTGTTTCGAAGAATCGAGATTTCCATGAATAAATTTATGACTTGCACTCAAGGCCATAACGTATTCATTTGGCGTTTGGCAGTTTTTCGAAAATCCATGTATTATCTTAAACTTAGATTAGACGCTGTCTACCAGTCGGTTACGCTGGCTTCTCCGAGACGCGCACGCCTGCGCTTGAGAGGTCAGTTGCATATGGGGTTACGTAAGTGAATAGCGCAGTGTATAAGATTTATAAAAATACGGCACAAATTCGCGATAACGGTTCTATCCTCGTTATTGTCATATGGCTGCCGATCGTTGATCTTGGGGCGATTTCGTGAGAAACACATTTAAACACGCAACACATTCCCAGCACAAGATCGGACGACTGGACGAGATCTGAGGTCTGACGTCTGCCACGCCCTGAGCCAAATCGAATGGGGACCTAACGAAGTCATGTTTGTTATCGACTTCAAGTGTCGCTTAAACCTTACATGTTGATACCATAATTAATGTGGTTGGATTAAGTGATGTCCGTACTGATTTTTGACATTTGTCCAACAAATGGCTCTACGAATAGGGGAAGATGATGTTTACCCCATACACAGCCAGCCTCCGTGTAAGTGTGGCGCCTATACCAGTCTTATTTATAGATAAAACTATATGTATATAGAATGCGGTTTTGATCTAGTCATTTCAGCAAATGGACCGGTTGTTATTTGCCCTTGTATAACGGTTCCTCTCAGCGTCCAGTTCTCTCCTGCCGGATAGCATTCTGTTTTCTAGCGATGCGCGTTTTATCTAAAGATTTCAATAATCAAGCAATATTCCTCATCAATAACATACCTACTTTTGCTGTTTAATCAGATGCGTAAAATAACCAACTCGACATATATGTTAGCGATAGTGTCTTACTAGACGTTTGCCAGTACGTGGCCTTATTGTTTCCTACAATAAAAAAAAAAATATTGTATAATCAAGACAGCGGCTTAAGGTCTTACTAAAAAATATCGTCTCGTATTCGAACATTACTAGATCCATATGAAGAAAGACTCCTGCACACTTTTCTTGCGTTCTTGGACTGAGCAAATAACGTGTTTATAATCATAGAACCGAACACGTATTTCAGATACGCCGTTCTCTAACTGAGTAAGTGCCTCGCGATACTGATACCTGTCCACATTTCTATCGATGTATTACCGTATATAAAACTGACTGTTAAACAGGTAATATAATTTACACAAGGATAAAGCAGAACTATCCGTGGATCATCTCTAAAAATGTTTGGGTTTCAACAATCGGTTTTAGTATAAGAAAAATAGTGATTTTCAGAACGTAGGGATTTCCAAGCGAGTCAACTGGTCGTATCGTCGATGAAGTGCAAAAGCTGCGCTTTTGTCTTCATAAGCCCGTTCCTTACGGCCTGAAAAGGCCAAATAAATATCATATCGAAGCTTTGATTTTGAGTTTGGAAGCGCGAATCAAGCGACCCCGACATAAAACCAGCATTTTTGTTTTTTACAGATATATGCCTTACGCTTTACGATGCCAACGAAATCAGATTTCCTCACTCAGTGCCGTATGCTCTTACCGCTTTGGCGATTTACGTACTCTTCATAAACAAAATGAATTTTTATTATATATATATCTTTCCACGAACAAACTCATGTATGCTATATTCGGATAACGGGTGGTCATCTCATTTCCTACAGTTAATTATCGGGACAGCTTAGATAAGCGGAACGCAGTCAACTGAATCAGTTGTCATTTGGTAATCGTTCTTGTTTCTCTTGCAGCATCAGCTCTGACGACAAAGAATCGTCTTTGTTTGCACAGAGGGTCGAGCGGTGAAGCAGAGAGGTGGTCAATACGAATTCAGTTTTTCTGTTAAGTCGAAAGGATCGGTGAGGATGTTGGTAACGAACAAGCGTAATTGGTCACCAAAAAAAAGACTGAAAAGCAATAGCCACGGTCCAGCGCTAACAACAGTACCTATATGAGGGACACAATATTTCAGTCGAGGAGACCGGCGGTGGCGGCCGGTAACTTCGACGTGGATCCGAAAATGTGCTGTCGCGTAGGTAGGCAGAAAATGGAAAAGCTAACTCTGAAATCTGTTCCGCAAAGCACCGTCCTATTTTAGGCTAGCGTTCATTCTGTTTACGTCTCGTTCAACGACTGGCAACAAATAATTTTCAAAACGACGTCTGTGTTGACTAGTCATCGATTTAGGAAAGCAGTCATTTCTTTGGAAAAGATTGAAAAAGCATCGAAAATAAAGCAGCGTCATCCACCTTCTGATGCAAACGAGTGAAGTTCTGGCGGTAGTGACATTCACAATGTCCATTGTATGTACATAGCACTAAATTGAAAATTTTCTAAATGAATTGGTGAGCAGACGAAAGGCACGACGAACAGTTTATTAATGAGTATTTACTGAAAATAGGAAAGCGATCATAATAGCAGAATTCAACTTCATTCTTATAATTGTGTCGGCCAATACCTCTTCAACGCTAGCGAATTAACTTGGGATCTGTAATGTACGATGAGCCAAGTGCGAAGGCTTGCCATTTACAAGTTTGATGTAGAGCAAAAAAGAACCAAAGCTAACACGGTTCATTATTGCGACTGCTAATACTATTATTATTTCCACTAACAGAAGGCACTACGCATAGCAGCGATAACTAGATCGATATTGTTTTCCTTGTCATTGACAAAAGAACAACCTTTAACTATATCATGGACACTACGAGGTCACCACCGCAACGACTTTTCGCCGTTGCCTCTGGCCTAGCTTTTTTTTGTCTCGCCGGTGGCCCGGCCAGTATTTCCCGCAGTTTTATTGTCAAGCTACGTTCTAGCATCTGACAAACTGTTACGTTTGTATTGTGAATGTAACTGAAAAAGGTGGGATGGTAATTATTGATCTTCAGCTTTTTGTCGCATCCATCGACGGTCGCAGGTTCATCTCCGCCGTTTCAAATTCCGGTTATTTTTCAGTTTCCTCTCTGCAATCTCTCGCTTTATTCCAGGTTTCTCTTTTGCCAGTTACACATAGTACCCATATGGGAACGCATGTGCCGGCTAATATCCACCCCTTGGCCAACGTAAAGCCAGTAGTAGCGACATAATTAGATATGGCGCTAACATTTGTTTCTCTTGTCACTGCTGAAACATAAGGAGATGCGCTATACCGAAGCAAAATCAGAAAAACACATGACATATGAGAGCACGTGTCGTGCCTCCGCCCGATACGACCACCAGCGTCATCACGGGGATACTGCTGCTGCTGCTATCTTTCAAGTTACATCGGTGACTTCGGTGGCGAAACAGCATCAACCAGATAAAAACTCTTTTCATTCGTGTTGACATCTTTTCGTTGTTTTTCTCTGTTTTCCTCCTTTTTTTCGTGTTGCGGCCTCTCCTCTCAGTCTTTGGTTTTCAAGCGCTGCCGCCAAGCTAAAGTAACCGAAGTACTCAGCAAACCGACGGCTGTTGGCCGACGACGTCGTGACAACACCAATTGTGACGACTCCACTACTCTGTTTGTCTGGATCCGTCAGTAACTGCTACAATGATGGCCACATAGACACAACACAGACATCGCCGCCTTCGATAAGATAACATCGTCAGAAAACATAAAAATATAGAAAGAGAGAGAGAAACGACAACAACAAAGCGAAGGCAAAAAAAGCCAAAACGAAGACAAAAGTCAAAGATAACATCAGTGGTTAAGTGAACAAGTGAATGAAAAACGATTGGCTCTATTAGATTGACGGGGCGGTCAAGTTAGCGGAGCAAGTGCGTTTACGTCTGGTGCGTAAAATGCGTCCGCTCGTCCTGAACATACCCTGCCCAGCCCATCTGTGTATGTCTGTTGGGTATGCCCCCACTGGACGGATAGCCCTGGGTAACACGAGTCAACGAGTTTTGCTCGGGAGGCGCCGCTCCCCCTGGCGTCCATCGTTTGTGCTACGATCGTCTCTGATACCAATCCCGGGATGGCAGCACCTGCGAAAAGTCGAGAAGGAGGCACCGTGCCGCGACCGTTATCGTTGCTTTAATTTATGATAGTTTACATGGACCGCAGGCACAGTTTACTGCGGCTACTACTGGAGTTTCAACTGCTTCAGCTGGTGCCCGCGCAGACAAACACAGCATGTAGGCATAGCTTGTTATTACGCGGGGTACGTCGAACCGTTATTACATGGCAATAGCGGAACAATTATTGTCGTTGTAAAGGCGAGCTATCTAGAGGAAGCCATTGTGGAAGAATGAAGCATTGCTAATATTAGCGGATACATACCGGCTACTAAGAAACAACTTGCGCTGTCACTGCGACAAAAATTATCGTTCAAGACCCTAATAAGTACACACAGTAGAAATTTGAAAAGGCGGATGTTCTAGAAACTGCGTGTCAGGATGGATAATTGTTCCAAGTTTCACCTGAAGTTACGCCCTCTTATTGCGCCTGCCGATTAAAAATATATTTTTACCGTTTTTTTTTTGCAACATTTAGGAAACGTATTTCATGCAAAATAATGAATAAATAATAAATAAAAATACTGAAAAGGAATAAAAAATATTGAGTTGAATGAAGAATGTTGCGCTACAGCAAATCGAACCAGCAAGTGTTTGGCTTATTGATTATTAATTTATTCATTTTAGTGAATCGTCTTTCGAAGCATCTCGTTAGTTGCACGCCACGCTGATCTTCACACCGATATCATAACTTACCTATATAGCACAATAAATTAGTGAGGTTAAAAACTTATTTTGTTGAAACAGTAAAATCCATACTTTCGATTTAGCAGTGATTACTAATATGATTAGTGTTCTTATTAAAGCTTTTCCACTTTGGTATGAACGACTTCAGCTTTGTTAGTTCATGTTAAGCTAAGCTCAGATCTTCTATGCTACTTAGATACCGTAGTGTGCTAGATAAATGTAGGAGTAATCTCTATTTCAACGTTTCTATTTTCAATAAAATTAGCAGCAAAGCTACAACAAAGTTGTTCGCGCTACTCGACAGATGGCGAGGGATTTTTAGATTGTGTCATCTAACTATATAAATTCAGAAAGAAGCTTCCATTCGTCGCCGAGCTTTAGGGTCAAACATATGGACACTCTCATCCCTATTGATAAATAGGTGGAATCAAACTTGCCGATCTACGCTGTAACGCTTCCTTCAATTCAAGATCTGTCTAGCAGCCAGCGACCACATGTCTATATTTGAAAAATAATTAGTCATGATATATTCGTTATTTAATATATATTTAGTGCAGGTAAATAACTTGGACTGGTTACCCAAATATGTGTATACTCACACACGAAGAGCCCTGAAAATAATCAAATATTGACAAA